TTTGCACAAACACCACAACTTCAGAGATTAAAAGGAGATCCTAAAATTCGTCCAACAAATTTGATTATTTTGTCCCAACTGAACCCAAAGTTTTCACCATTCAAAGACCATCTCTCTTTCCGAGTCATCATGAGCGCAGAGAATGGAGGAATTCACAAACCAGCAAATGACCCACCATTCAATGCTCTTGTTGATTCGTAGCCCCAAGTAGAGAGAACAAAAGAAGATGCTTTTTCAGAGACTGAGAATATATGCAACTTGTATTTTGTAATCGGGCTATCAGATACTTATCGTAACAGTTGCTGTCCAGGATAACGGGGACTCCATCTAGAAGGGGTTGACTTTGGAGGAAACATGTGACTGTGGGATGACAAAGGAGATGTTAACATGGGTAAACTGAAGGAGCTGAAGGAGATAGCTTAACAGGAGATGAGGACAATACTGCTGTAGAAAGATCAGTGATGGGATTTTGGTTTGGGGTTTCCGTGTGTAGCATCTGTTTAAGGGTTTGGGGTCTTGAGAAGTTTTATAACGTACTAATTACGTTATGAAATGATTTAATTGATTAACAAGGTATTAATCAATTTGGTTATTTTTTTAGGGTATCGTATCTAATTTGCTCACCGAGAATTGATATTTTGGCTAATATGCTCAGGACAAGTAAGCTTATATCATGTGAAAAATGAAAAAAAAAAATGATACATTCAAGTCAGTTCATAAAGATATTGAAAGCTGAAAAATCTCCATCAAGACTATGGATTGTAAACGCACATTTGGTTTGCTCTCTCTTCTTGCAGCATAAGGTTCTTGGACTTCGACTTGATCCATTATTTGGATGACAACGACAGTGTAGACTACAACTCGTGTAAGTATGCATTTAGTAACTTTTAATTACTATCGAACAATATAGATTATACTTTTTGTTCATTCGCAAAAAATAAAAAAATAAAAATTCTCTCTGATCAAACTTTTTATTGCCATAATGGTTTAGGGAACGAATGGATCGTATCGGCTGGAAAATGAAGAGATTTGTACGACTCAATTACAAGAATAGAGCTCTACCAACTGTCACTGTTTAGACAAATTGCTTGGCCCCATTTTAAATACTTTATATCTCAACAATCTTTATATATATTTTAAACAAGTAATTATACTCACCAAATGCAAAACTAATAAGGAATCACGAATAATTTGGGGTCACTTATTCGCAGGTCGCAAAGGTCAAAAAAGAAGGCGAAGAATTGCTTTCAATTTTTAATTTTAACTACGAACAATGCTTCAAATTTTCATAAAAATTGGATCAACTACCAATATACATTTTCAATGAGTTGCTAGACTAGACATTTACAACAGAAATTTAAAACCTATCAAAATAATGAAAATTGGTTTATATATATATATATATATATATATATACCAATTTTCATTATTTTGATAGGTTTTAAATTTCTGTTGTAAATGTCTAGTCTAGCAACTCATTGAAAATGTATATTGGTAGTTGATCCAATTTTTATGAAAATTTGAAGCATTGTTCGTAGTTAAAATTAAAAATTGAAAGCAATTCTTCGCCTTCTTTTTTGACCTTATTCGTCTTTCGGAAGAGGTTTTGATGAAAATCATCAATAGAGTGATCCTCGACTTTATTATTTTTATGTTAGTGACAAATATTGCTTCAGCTCAATGAATGAATTTTTATTATTTTCTTATTTTTTTTTAAACCTTCACGGATTTAAATATTATCTGAATGAGTTATGCCAAATTAATTTGAATGACAGAAGCCTTTTGGCCATTGAAGTCAAAGGGATTTGTGAATTTATTGATTTTAAAAATATATATCAAAATTCTTTTTTTTCCACGAGGATTAACTTGGATGGGGAAGATCTTGTTTCACGGGGTGCCTTTCTTCTTGGCACAGAAAGGGACACCGTGCGGCAGTAGTCTGCTCTGTTAGACTATCTTCCGCCTTTTCTCGGTCGCGTCGGGACGAAAGAAAATTTGATTACAATTTTGTAAAAAGCTTACAATAAAGAATTTGAATACATTGAAAGGAAATTGAACATTGATTAATGAAAACTGAATATTACAATTGATAAAAGGAGAAAATTACAATTGCTGGTGTAGGGGGCCGACACCAGTGAGTTTGAAATATTTTTGAATGACTAATACCCCTATAATAGTATTCTGAACAAAAATCTAAGTGACAGGCGTAGACGTTTAAAAAACGAGGAATCATACTAAACGTTTACTAATATCAAAATTATTTTACAACTAAAATAACTATTACAATGAAAAGAAAATTACAACTCAAACTTGAAGTAATATTTACAATGTGCAGTCGAAATTGGGCAAACTGCGGCTGCGATAGTGTCAAGGGGCTAAGTAAAGCTGCGGTCCTTGACATTCTCCCCCATTTGTTTTGGCGACGTCCTTGATGCTATCAATGCATGATATGCTTCAATTAATGGTTTGAAGGCTCCGAGATATTTTTCTCTTTCCCAAGTATTCTCCTCGCTGCTGCATCAAATCCATTTGACCAAGTATTCCTGATGATCTTTTCTAGAAGCTCGAGTGATTCGATGGTCAAGAATAGCTTTAGCAACTTTCTTTCCGGCTTTCTTCAGTTCAAACACAAGTCGCTTTGGCTCATTTCTAGATGCGTCATCCTTATCGGCAAAGTATGACTTCAACACACTAACATGAAGGACCTTGTGAATTTTACACCATAAAGAGAGTTCAACTCTGTATGCAATTCTTCCAATCCTCTTCTCGATGGGTAATGGTCCAATGTATTTTGGCGTTAATCTTGAATCCTTCCCTCTTGTTGGTTTGTAAATATTTTTGTCGGGAAGCTTAACCATTACCAGATCTCCAACATTGAATTCAATTAAATGGCCCTTTAGATCTGCAGCCTTTTTATACCGTTTTTGAGCTTTCTTAAGATAACTCCGAGCAATTTCAATATTTCGTTTCCACTCTTGAGAAAAGTTCTTTGCTTGAAGGGATTTGATACTTCCTTCGATATCCACTGTATGAGGAAGTAGCGGTTGCTGGCCAGTAACAATCTCAAAAAACTCTTATTGGTGGAAGAGCTCTTTTGGGCATTGAAGCAAATCTGAGCCGCATCCAAAAGTTTTACCCAGTTTTTCTGCGAAGTAGAGATAAAGTGCTGAAGATATTCTTCTAGCATAGAATTGAAGCGCTCCGTCTGTCCGTCAGATTGTAGGTGAAAACTAGAACTCATGTTCAAAGTTGAACCAAGAAGTTTGAACAACTCAGTCCAAAATATGCTAGTGAAACAAGGATCTCGATCACTGACGATGTCTTTAGGCAGTCCCCAGTATTTGACAATATGTTTGAAGAAGAGTTGAGCTGTCTCTTCCGCGGATACATACTTAGGTGCTGCAATGAAAGTTGCATATTTTGATAGACGGTCCACCGCGATGATGATAGTGCCAAAATCCTCAACTTTTGATGACACAATAATGTAGTCCATCGATACACTTTCGAATGACCGGGTTGGAACGAAAAGGGGCTCCAGCAAGCCCACCTTTTTCTGATGATCTGCCTTATCTTGCCGACAAATAAGACAGGTTTTTACATATGTTGCAATGTCGTCCCGCATTTGAGGCCAGTAGTATGCACGTTGCAGTAGTGCACAAGTGCGTTCCTCTCCGAGATGTCCTCCCCAAATTGTGTCATGGTATTCTATAATTAGTGATTTCCTCAGATCTCCGCCCTTAGGAACATATAGGCGGTCTCCCTTTGTCTTCACTAGTTTCCCATTGAGTCAGAACTGTCGAGTTTTACCCTGAACTGTCGAGTTTTACCTTGCTTGATGAGGTTGACCAAATATTGGGTAGCCAAGTCCTTCTCCATAAGTGCCCGAATTTGGTCTCTAGTGTTCATGGAGACAGCGCTTCCTGAAAGAGCAGTTACGGAGCAGATGGCAGCCAAATCGGCCCGTCGACTAAGAGCATTAACAACATGATTACTAGAGCCGGGACGATACTCTAACATAAAATTGAACTCTAAAAAGAATTCCTGCTAACGAGCCTGTTTGCTCAATAGTTTTGGTTGACACATGAAGTAACTAACTGCAGTGTTATTTGTCTTCACAATAAATAGAGACCCAAGCAGATAGTGACGCCATCCTCTGAGACAATGGACTACTGCCAACCATTCCTTTTCATGTGCCAAGTAATGACGTTCTATCTGGTTTAACTTTCGGCTCTCATATGCTACCGGATGTCCTTCTTGTATGAGGACTCCACCAAGTGCAAAATCTGAACCATCTGTATGAACTTCAAATGGTTTAGTCATATCCGGTAAGGCTAAAATCGGGTTCCTCCACATGGACTTTTTCAACCTTTCAAAAGCATTTTGGCATTGAGTTGACCAATCTCAATCCTTATCCTTCTTTGTCAATTCAGTAAGTGGTAGTACAATTTCTGAATAGCCTTTCACAAATCTTCGATAGTAATTGCATAACCCAAGAAATGAACGTACATCATGTACGCTTTTTGGTGGTTGCCAATTTTTTATGGTTGTAACCTTCTTCGAATTCGTGCGGATTTTACCTTGTTCAATGATGTGACCCAAGAAACTAATAGATGTATGAGCAAATGAGCATTTAGATGGCTTGGCATAGAGTTCATTTTCCCGTAGCCGATTAAAAACTTGCCTCACATGTTGGATATGTTCCTCCAATGTCTCGCTGTAGATTACTATATCATCCAAGTACACCACGACAAAATCATCTAAGAACCCGTGAAGTACCTGATTCATCATAGTATAAAATGTTGCTAGAGCGTTTGTCAAACCAAAAGGCATCACTTTAAATTCAAAGGCTCCATATCTGGTTACCACCGTAGTCTTTGCTTCGTCTCCCTCTTTGATCCGAACTTGCTAGTATCCGGACCTAAAATCAATTTTTGTGTAATACTTCGCCCGACTCAGTCGATCGAAGCAATTCGTAACTAGTGGGATAGGATAGCTATTCTTTACAGTAATCTTGTTTTAGGCTTGATAGTCGCAGCACATTCTAAGAGAACCATCGGCCTTTTCTGAAACAATACAGGAGCTCCGTATGGCGACTTCGCAGGAACAATGATTCCACTCTCCAACATTTCTCCCAATTGCTTCCTAAGCTCTTCATGCTCAGGCTGAGACATATGGTATGGTGCCCTGGCGGGAGGCTTAACGCCTGGAATAAGTTCAATCTCATGATCAATCATCCTTCTTGGTGGTAATTTCTTTAGTAATTCGTCTGACATGATGTCCTCAAATTCCTGAATAAGCCTTTTAACGAGATTTGGAATAGGACCATTCGCCTCTTCAATCTCCTCTAATCGAAGAGTGCACAAAAAATAAGGTTCATTTCTCTTAAAACCCTTACTAAATTGCATGACTAAGATTCTCTTCTCGCCCATCCTCCCAACCTGTGTAGGGATGCCACACGGCTTATTACCCATCATCATTAACGAATCGAAATATGGCAACATTGCTGTCTTAGTATCCCGAAGAAATTTCAATCCTAGAATAAACTTGAAATCATCCATCTGAACTGCAGATAAATTTGTCCTTCCCTCGAAAGGACCTACTTTGATCAACACCAATTTCGCCACTCTAGCTATTGGTTGAGCTGCGGAGTTGATTGCTTTGACTTTTTCACTATCCTTTTCCAGAACAAGTCATAGACGCTCTATTTCGGTACATGCAAGGTAGTTGTGGATAGCACTAGTATCCACCATAATCCTGATTGGCTTCCCGTTGATTTTACATCAATGTACATTAAGCATTTGGCCCTACAAATTTGAGCCTTTGCTTCTTCCATTTTTGCCTCTTTCAATGGGACATCATCCTTTTCAGCAACCCGATGTGACAGTGTGTTGCACCGATGTGAAAATGCCCCAACTACGTCCTCATCCTCTTTGGAATCGGTCTCACTATGACAATTAGCCTGCGGGGCCTCTTGCTTTGAACTTGACCCGCCACTTGCTAACTGACAATGTGCATTCACCATCCGCTTCTGAGGACACTCTGACACCCGATGAGGTCCTTCGCATAAAAAACACTTCAATTTGGGAGTGGTATCAGTTCGGTCCTTCGTTGCTTTTCCTTTGTTCCAGTTGTTAATGTTGCTGCCGTTAAAATTTTCTTGACGGCTATTATGATAGTTTCCCTGAAAGCCACGAGTGCTTTGATAGGCTCCTTCCCTATTCTGAGAGTAACACTCTCTCCCATTGGGGTTTGAGCTGGGTCTATAAGGTCTATTACCACCTCCAATTGCTTGATTACTCCCCGAAGGTCGATTCTTTCTAGATTCTGTTTGGTAGTCGCTCAAGCATTCAGCGGCTCCCATGGCCGTGCACAAATCAGTAACTTTCTGTCTTTGAAGTTCCGTGCGTGTCCACGGTTTCAACCCTTCCATAAAGGTGAAGAGCTTATCCTTTTCTGACATATCTCGAATGTTCAGCATATGCCCCGAAAAGGATTTCACATACTCTTTGATAGAGCTCGTGTGTTTCAGGTCTCGAAGTGCCCGTCGAGGCTGATACTCGACATTTTTCGGGAAAAACTGCGATCTAATCGCTTCCTTGAGGAGATCCCCAAGAATTTATTCGAACCATGTTGACCTCAATGTCAGCATATTTGGTTCGCCACCATAGTTTTGCATCTCCATCCAGATGCATGGTAGTTGTGGTTACCTTTCTAACTTCATCTTCGATCGAAACTGTGAGAAAGTACTGTTCCATGTCAAACAAGAAGTTTTCGACTTCTTTTGCATCATGTGCCCCTCCGTAGGTACACGGTTCAGAAATTCTGAGTCTAGGAGCATACTTAGGTACGAGAGCTTGCCCATTGCCCATCGCACGTTGGAGTACCCGCAATTGAGCTCTCAATGCTTCCATTTCATCCTGCAGATCAGGAATGATTGTAGCAGCTTCAGTCATTGCTGCGCAAGCCCTTTGGCTTTCATCCAGTTGGATGTGTAATCCATGAATCTCAGATTCGGCCATCTCGACTTTTTCCTCGAGACCTTCCAAGGCACAACACAACCTAGTAGTTGTCTCATCAAGCGCATCCACGCGTTGTTTAGTAGTACCCTTCTTTTGAGGCTCTACCACTTCAGTGGTGTGGGATGTAATTGGATCCATAACTTTCTTATCGAGGGTCGTGAGCCGCAGCTCTGATACCAACTTTCACGGGGTGCCTTTCTTCTTGGCACAGAAAGGGACATCGTGCGGCAGTAGTATGCTCCGTTAGACTACCTTTCGCCTTTTCTCAGTCACGTCGGGACGAAAGAAAATTTGATTACAATTTTGTAGAAAGCTTACAATAGAGAATTTGAATACATTGAAATTAAATTGAACATTAATTGATGAAAACTGAACATTACAATTGACGAAAGCAGAAAATTACAATTGCTAGTTCAGGGGGCGGACACCAGTGAGCATGAAAGATTTTTGAATGACTAATACCCCCTATAATAGCATTCTGAACAAAAACCTAAGCGACAGGAGTAGACGTTTAAAAGACGAGGAATCATACTAAACGTTTACTATTATCAGAGCTATTTTACAGCTGAAATAATTATTACAATGAAAAGAAAATTACAACTCAAACTTGAAGTAATATTTATAATGTGCGATCGAAGTTGGGCAAACTGCGGCTAAAATAGTATCAAGGGGTTAAGTAAAGTTGCGGTCATTGACACCTTGGCTGGACTCTTAAATCATAAGGAGCCACTTGTTTAAGGAAAATTTAGTGTAAATGGTCCTCAAATCATGGAATTGCTGTCAAAATGGTCTTTAACCTTCAAATTTTGATGCGAACATCCATAACCTCCACTTAGTAGACGAAATCGGTACTTTTGGATGGTTTGTATCCAATCGACTAATAAAAAGGTCTTTTTTTGTTATAAAGATTGAAATGCTCTTACCTTAGCTAAGTAAATGAAATAAAATAAGAATGGAACATTTTCTCACACCTCCCCAGCCATTTTATTTTGGGCTAAAAAGATGTGGAATTTCAATTATTTCTATAAGAAAGTGAAAAGGTTAAATGAATATGTATAACGAAGAAAAGAAAACATATCCTACCAATTAATGTCTTAGGAAAGCTCCAATGCAACGATGGATTGAATAAAAAATTATGTTGTCCAAACAAAATAGAAGGTATTTAAAAAATTAATCTCTAGTGCGAGCCGGTAATGACTCGGTAAAGATAAAGAATAAATAATGAAAGGCTTTCAATCAATATGGTAGCCATTTTTTTCAAAATGCATTTTTCTCTCTCTTCTTTTCAACCACACATTCTTTATTAAAATAATATTATACGTAAATAAAAAAAATTCTTATTTTTCAACCACACATTTCACATCAATTTAATTCTAAAATGAATTTTTACATAAAAATGACTATCAAACACCCGTATAGTCCTTGTTTGAGCCCCATTTTTTTAAGAATGTATTTTTTCAACTTTATTTTCAATCACATTCTCTCATAAAATAATTATACACACATTTCAAAAACTTCCTCTTACTTTTTGATCACACATTCTCCAAAAAAATCATTATTCTATTGTAAGTATTATGTCCTAGGTCCAACCAACTTTGGACGTAAATATTTTTAATATATAATTAATGTGATTTAATGACAGATCTATTATTTAATTAATAGATAATTAAATTAAATAATAGAATCCGTAGATTCAAATCTTCGTAATTTGTTAATCACAAAGAATTGTGATTGTGAGATGCAAATTACATATGATTGAATCTTAAATCATCCGTAGTCGTAAGTAATAACGATAGACCATCACGTTATTACAGATAGACCATCACGTGTGGCATTTCTTACTTGTAAAGTAAGTAGCTGATTTCACAAACTAAAGTGTGGTGACACTTGAATGAACACGTGGATGCTTTGTTATAAAACAAAACATTGGAGACTCGCTGAGAGATTCCACATGGATAACTATCTGAGTGTGAGTGGTTAATCTCTAACATTCAATAGTGGAATTGGTCCTTTGACTTGAGATCATCATAGTGCCTTATATGGAGACAATCATACTTTGGTAGTGTTGGATGTTGCTCTGCAAAGGCCCGTTAATACGGCATCGTTCGGGTCAGTCAAGAATCATATAAAGGTTGTAAATGACAGATAGAGGATCCGTCACTCTTAGCTAGTAAGAGATTATGATCTGCATTTCATCCAATTGAGTCGATAACGAAATCCTTGAGTAAGGTGTACTCATAAGTCGAAAAGGAGTTTTCAACCTATTTTGACTTAATGGTGGAGTGAAAGATATTATCGATAATCGAGATTGACACACTTCCATATCTCGTAATTGATCAGATCATATTGATGAAAGGAATATTCACCACAATCTTGATTTCTTTGTTGATCCTTAGAAGTTTGATCCTTCCAAATTTGAGGTACGAGTTAATATTATACTTTTAATGGTTGACGTTAAGTGCATATTTAAGCCCCTATTTTACAATCATTATCCTAAAATTTTTATTTTTTTCTACATGCTCATTTCAACCATACATTCACACAATAAAATATTTTACACGTAAACTCAAAATTTTTTTTTATACTTTTTAACCACATATTTTCTAAAAATTCACAATTCAAAACTTTAGTTTTCCGAAATAATGACCACCAAATAGGGTCTCGGTGCTTGTTTGATACTTTTCAACTTATCGAACTTAAACTTTTAGCTACAAATGGGATCCACAACTTTTTATCAATTTTTTTCATCAAAAGTTTTGTTAAACAATCCCATGGCACTTAGAACTAAATTTAAGAATAGTTTGTCAGGGCATATGAAAATAGATTAAATATTAATGCCAACCAATTAAACTTCATTTTCACCAAATATTGACCTACATAAAAAATTGAGTTCAACTAAAAATTTAATGACCACCATGACTTTTAATCCGATGAAAGTATGGTAGGACAAAACATTTTTTATTTTATCCCTCAAAATATAAAGATTAAAGAGACTAATTAAGGAGAAAAAAATTGTAGGATGAAGTAACAAATATTAATTTATGGTTTCTTGTAGGATGTGGTGAAACCCAATACGTTTATGCCATTTGGCAGTGGAGTACATGCTTGCCCCAGTAACGAACTTGCTAAGTTAGAAATGCTTGTTATGATCCACCATCTAGCTTCTCAGTTCAGGTACTTTATCAAACTAAAACAAGAATTTTTGGAAATGCGTTTTTTAGATAAATTAAATCATAAAAAAACAATTCTATTTTATACTACTCGGTTCCTCGTATGTTCTGTTGAATTCAACAAACATGTCATATATGTATTTTATACATCATATATCACAAGATTTGATTAAAATAATATTATCTTTTTTCCCCCCTCAATTCTATGTTATACTGTTAAGTTTATCTTACTAACTACGTGACGACGTTGGTGAGTGATATGTGATATTAGGTATCATTTGACAATTGTGTTTGTAGGTATGAAGTGGTGGGATCCCAAAGTGGGATTGAACATGCGCCATTCCCCATCCCTTTCCAAGGACTCCCTGCCAGATTTTGGAAACAAGAACCAACCGATTAAGTAGGACATACCAAGACGATTGTTCCTTAACCAAATTTCACTTTTCCTTAACCAAATTCTTATTCCTGAATTAAATGTGTATAAAAAAATTATTATAAAAAATCGAAAATAATTTTTTTTTACACAAAAATTAATCAAAACATGGTGAAATGTGTGGTGGTAGTGAAATGTGTATAAAAAAATTTATTATCCAAAAATCAAAGATAATTTTCTTTAAAGTATGAAATTAGTAAATTTTTTAAGAGTTTTTTTTGAATTTTTTTTCCTTTTTAATATATATAGGAAATTGTAGGTAGGTAAAAATAAATTGCCCACTGTACTTTCGGGATTTGAGAAGTAGGCTGACGTTTGGGCCTGGATTGTTTTGAGAGAGGGGCTGACCCATCCTAATAATATGCTGGCCGACAGCAACTGCAAAGGTTCTTAGGTTACGAATTGATATTTTGGGCTAATATGCTCAAGACAAGTAAGCTTATATCGTGTGAAAAATGGAAAAAACGATACAATCAAGTCAGTTCATAGAGATATTGAAAGCTGAAAAAATCTCCATAAAGACTATGGATGGTAAACGCACATTTGGTTTGCTCTCTCTTCTTACAACATAAGGTTCTTGGACTTCGACTTGATCCATTATCTGGACGACGACGACAACGACAGTGTAGACTACAACCCGAGTAAGTATGCATGTAGTAACTATTAATTACTATCGAGCAATAGAGATTATACTTTTTTGTTCATTCGTAAAAAACATATTTTTTTCCCCTCCGAATCAAACTTTTTCTTGCCATAATGGTTTAGGGAATGAATGAATCGTATCGACTTGGAAAATGAAGAGATTTGAATGACTCAATTACAAGAATGGAGCTCTACCAACTATCACAGTTTAGACAAATTGCTTGGCCCCATTTTAAATACTTTATGATCTGAGCCAGGGGCCGCAAGCATCAAAGTCAAGTCCAACGTCAAGCCCTAAAAAAGATCCGTTGATAGTCGAGGGCGGTCCATTCGATGACTCGAATAAGAACAAAGTGAGTAAAAGAGGCGATGGGATTGCTCGCCAATGCAACTATTGATGAAACTATGTTCAGGACTCAAAATGAGACAAGTTTCATGTTGGGGACGAAAGTCGAAGAAACTTGGATCAATGTGTTTAAGGTGGACAAAACCGGGTTCAAGGAGCAAAGTCATGCGGCCGCATAGCTTTGCAAGGCTTGCGGTCACACAGCCACAAGCAAGGATTTTTAGGGGCGAATTTGGCATAACCATGCGGCCGCAAGAAAATGTACCATGCGACCGCATGGTACAAAAGTGGGACGCGATTTTTCTTTTCGTGAGGATTTCCCTATTTTATTATGATTCCAAGTTTAATAGGAATTTTACCATATTTGGAAGATTATAGACAATTTTACCTAGATTTTAGGACTAGTATAAATATTTTTCTCATTTCATTGTTTAAAAGACTTTGACATATTGATTAATTGAAAGAGTTAATTGCTTTCTCTTTGTTCTTCTAATTGAACAACTTTCGAACTTATCAAGATCTAATTCTTGTGGCGTTCAAATCACTT